GTAGTACAGTAGTAGTACAGTAGTAGTACAGTAGTAGTACAGTAGTAGTACAGTAGTAGTACAGTAGTAGTACAGTAGTAGTACAGTAGTAGTACAGTAGTAGTACAGTAGTAGTACAGTAGTAGTACAGTGGTAGTACAGTAGTAGTACAGTAGTAGTACAGTAGTAGTACAGTAGTAGTACAGTAGTAGTACAGTAGTAGTACAGTAGTAGTACAGTGGTAGTACAGTAGTAGTACAGTAGTAGTACAGTGGTAGTACAGTAGTAGTACAGTAGTAGTACAGTAGTAGTACAGTAGTAGTACAGTAGTAGTACAGTAGTAGTACAGTGGTAGTACAGTGGTAGTACAGTAGTAGTACAGTAGTAGTACAGTAGTAGTACAGTAGTAGTACAGTAGTAGTACAGTAGTAGTACAGTGGTAGTACAGTAGTAGTACAGTAGTAGTACAGTAGTAGTACAGTAGTAGTACAGTAGTAGTACAGTGGTAGTACAGTAGTAGTACAGTAGTCGTACAGTAGTAGTACAGTAGTAGTACAGTACAGTCGACCTACCCTTATAACGATAACCTCTATAACGATATTACCCTTATAACGATATTTTGCTGGCAAACCAAATCACTCCATTGACTTGTGTATACAATGCCTTACCTCTATAACAATATTGCTATAACGATATTACCCCTATAACGATATAAAATGGGTTGACCAATCGACATTTTCCATTTTATAACAATATCTAGCAGGGGATATGTAGAGCCCACTATCCAGGCAGGGCAAGCTTCACTTGATACGTCGCTGGGACATAACGAAATGCAATGGGGGCACCAGTAGGCACCTTGCTGTGTACACAATGGGCATGTACGTCAGTTTTATGCTATAAAGAGCGTAAAAAACGAACAAAATCCATGCATTATGACGTATGTGTCTGAAATGAACCAGTTACCCTTGTAACAATATTACCCTTATAACAATATTTCTTGGTTTGACGCAAATATCGTTATAGGGGTAGGTCGACTGTAGTAGTACAGTAGTAGTACAGTGGTAGTACAGTGGTAGTACAGTAGTAGTACAGTAGTAGTACAGTGGTAGTACAGTGGTAGTACAGTAGTAGTACAGTAGTAGTACAGTGGTAGTACAGTGGTAGTACAGTAGTAGTACAGTAGTAGTACAGTGGTAGTACAGTAGTAGTACAGTAGTAGTACAGTGGTAGTACAGTGGTAGTACAGTGGTAGTACAGTAGTAGTACAGTGGTAGTACAGTGGTAGTACAGTGGTAGTACAGTAGTAGAGTAACACATTACGGCCAAGATGGTTCCACTTTACACATGCCATGATCACGGTATACAGTCAGACCTCGTTTATCCGGTCCTCTTTTGTCCGGATCCCTCACCATCCGGAAGAATAACGTCAGTTACCGATTAACAGCATATGTAGTTCATATCCGGTTCCCTCGCCTATCCGGATATATTGTGGAAAAGGGATGTGTGCGGTTACGCGAGGCCTGACTGTATACAGCATTGAAAAAACTTACTCCCATGACAAAGACGCGAACCCACTCTAGTGTAACATCAGGCATACTAGTAACATCATGCCATGAGGACATGAGCAAACTCACCAGTACAGTGTGGACTTAGGGACTGTGGGTTCTGTAGAAGATCAGTCCACAGCTGGCCAAACTCTGGTATTCTGTTAGGCACAGCAACACACACACACAAACACACACACACGTACATGCACAGATACACAGATATTCAGGAGAACACGCTGTTGAGACTCAACTACTGCCACAATCCCATACACAAGGAACACAAGGAACTACAGGTACGTGGTAGGGACGACATACATTGGGATAGACGGAGAGACGAAACGAAACACTACACGCCTATACAGTGAGTGAGTGAGTGAGTGAGTGAGTGAGTGAGTGAGTGAGTGAGTGAGCGAGAAAAAGTGCTAGATGGGCTTGGGTAGCTATGGCTTATATGGACGCGCAAGTAGCTACCAAAGCTAGCGGAACAAAAGGTGAGTACGGGAAGCTACATGTATGTACGGGGTGCATGCAGGCCAGCAGGGAAAGGATGCAAGGAGGCAATGTACGGGAGAGAGTATCTAACAACGCCAATGCATGGAGATGCACACACCCCCCCCCCCCCCCCCCCCCCCGTGTATGCCTCCTGCAACCTCCCCTGTTTGCCTTGCATCCCAAGGAGAAACACACCGAGTGTGCATGCTCACATACAAGAGCACGGTGCTCGAGTAAAGGTGGAACAGCCAGACACGGCCGGCAGTTGAATTGACACGAGAGTGGTCACAGGCAGAAGGAATGCGCTGCAAGCATTACTAAGCTACAGAGGGTTGGCGGATGGCACCAATCACTTGCTACACACACGCACGCACGCACACACACACACACACTGACCTGGCAACAGCTTGCAGCAGGCGCAGTAGATCACGGCCTAGCGTCATGCAGTCAGAAAACTGCACATATCAAACAAGAAAAGACAGAGAGACTCCAGATCGCATATGCAGAACAACTCACCTAAAGGCTTTACGAATACATAGCTATGCTGGACATGTTGCAATGGGGAAAGGTAAGTTAGAAAATCAACTGCTGTAAGTCAACAAATATTCGGCGCATATTTATTTTCGGCAATTTTCGGAATTTTTGGCGGAAATTTCGTCTTTCAAGGTTCAGTGTGACAGTGTATCCATGCAGCAGCAGTACAGGCTGAAATTGTAATGTGGCCGAATGTGTTTTAGCACTGGGAGGCAGAAACTTAAACGCGCCGAAAATATGTAGACTTACTAGAGAGGTTCTGCAAAACGAAAAAGCGTACAAACTTTCGCTCTACTAGTACATCATGAAGTGCGAAACTTCACACGAACTTTTCGCAACTTTGGACGAGAAACTTGCAGGGAACGCAAAATGAACTTTCGTAGGAAGTTTCGTGAGATGGAGTCATGGCGTGCGTGCACTTGGCGCGTGCAAACTACGAAAATGTGCAGAACGCAAAGGTCATGCGAAAATTCGTACACACTTTCGCAAGGACCGTCGCGAAACTTCGTTCGAATTTTCGTTTTGCAGAACCTCTCTACTGTACACAAAATGTGTATCCTGCACAGATCAAACAATGCCCACTGCACAACTACCTGCATTTGTGTGCATCTGAGTGTGCAAGAGTCAATGTGCACGTGATCATGTTCATTCACACCTTATCTACAGTGCAAGTACAGTAAAACCTGTCAAGGCGACCACCTGTTCTAAAAGACCACTGGAACCAGCACCCAGAAATGCTATTTCCAGTCAATGGACCCTCGATAAGGAGACCACCTGGTAACAGAGACCAGATTTTGAAGGTCCCTTGAGCGGTGGTCTTAGACAGCTGTTTCACTGTACATATACTCTGAACAAGACAGTACAGTGAGACCTGTCTAAGACCACCGCTCAAGGGACCTTCAAAATCTGGTCTCTGTTACCAGGTGGTCTCCTTATCGAGGGTCCATTGACTGGAAATAGCATTTCTGGGTGCTGGTTCCAGTGGTCTTTTAGAACAGGTGGTCGCCTTATCCGAGTGGTCGCCTTGACAGGTTTCACTGTACTCGTAGATTCGGCTAGGACCAAGAGTCCATAACCCCAAGAGACTGAGTGTATGCAACTCTGATCTCCCAGCTTTGGGTGCGCTGCACGACATGCGGCCTTCATCATGCAGTGACCTGACGATTGAGCTGCCTGGATTGGAGGTTTCCTACGGATTAGCCTCAACAATTTCACGTGCCATACGGTAAGTTCAAAGGAAATGGCTGTGTGCAAGACGCATAACGTACAAAACAATCTGAAGTCTCCGAGAAAAGCAGACTCTTGGAAGCAGGAAACTGTAGCAGATCAATAATGATGTAATGGGCCACAGTTGGTGCCTATGTTATGTGGGCAGCGCGTTGCACCAGACCAATATGCAGAGTTGCATGCTGTTGCGGTTATGTACTAGTCTAGGTACCAACCATAATAGGGTCGGACATGGAATGGGGGTTACATTTTTAAAAGAGTGAACGTGAAGAAAGTGACACTACTGCCACACTATGGGGATGGAGCGAGCTACAGATACGTAGCCACACCTGCCCCCCCCCCCCCCCCCCATGCCTAGTCGTGCATGCCCCACTGGCCACATATCCCTACTCCCTACAGCCAAGAGTACATAACCCCCCAGAGTGTGCAACGCCGATCCAGCTCTGCATAGAGTCTTGGTCGAGCGTAATCGGATCTTCTGATGTCATGCGTACACTCCACACCAGCGCAAGGCCAGTCTCGAGGCAGGGCACCGTTGTTTTCGATCCGAGAGTACCCGCGACTCCACGGGTTCCCCTCAGATGTGTACGGTATTATGACGCAAAGATCCGATTCCGCTCGACCAGGACCCTATGCAGAGCTGGACAGGCGTTGCACACTCTGGGGGGTTATGTACTCTTGCTACAGCCCTTCTCCCCCCCTCTCCCTTCCCTTCATCCAGAGTCTAATTACGCCATCGGATAAGTACCCCCCCCCCCCCCCGCCATCCCGTCAAAGGTGCCAGGTTCAACCACAAGCGCATCTGCTGCTTGCCCTTGATAGCGGCTTCCAAACCGCAATGGCCAGCCAACACAAACACCAAACACCAACCACCTGCTTTGTCTTACCCTGTTCCTGAGCAGATCAATGCAGAAGTTGACCTCGGCCACGCGCAGACTGGTCAGGGCTGTGGACGAGTGGTCCGGTATAAGGCGTAGGTACGTGTACAGCGCCGAGCACAGCATAGTCTGCCTCTGGTCCAACCAGGGTCTGAGCACAGCATACGCAATACAACGCAAAAGGCACATTCGCACACATTCACAGCATACGCAACACAACACAAAGGGAATACATGCGCACATTCACAGCATACACAATGCAACACAAAGGGTGCAAATGCACACATTCACAACATAGCCAATACAATGCAAAGGGCACAGATATGCACGCAAGAACAAGAGA